TATTTTTTTTTTAATCATTAGTAAGTTTAAAAAAAAAATAGCATTACTTCAGTAACACATCAAAATTCAAAAACCAAATCAAAGGATATAACCTTTGCAGTATAACATATAAAAAACATCTATAGACCATATCTTTGCTCCTAATTGTCTGATTTTAACGATTTACTTTTTGTTTCTTAGGATATTTCGTAAACTTTTAAATAACAATGAAACAGTGTATACTTTTTGATTTACTCGGAATTTAATTAGGAGGATTTTATATAGATAATTTTAAAGGGAATCTAGAAGAACACTTTAGCGAAGTTTTATTGAAATCGGTACATTCGTTTAGGCGCTACAGTCTATAGCAACGCAGGTTTTTCGGCCGCCATCTTGAAAGGAAAATGCGGATAGAAATGAAGGAGTATCATCTTTGGATGACCTCTGATTTTAAAACCAAATTTGAAAAAAATTGGTCCAGTAGCTTTGGAGAAACTGCGCGGACGACGGACGGACAATTTTTTTTTTATTCGTTTTTCGAATTCTACATATTCTGAAACGTAAAACCTCAAATTTTGAGAGGGAGTTAAGTTTTTGAATTGTTTGGTCGATCACAATGGTTCATAAACCAAAAATATTAAATGAGTAATAATGTACCATTAATTCCAAAAACAAAAACCAGGTTCCAGTAAAGTAGTCCAAGTAAATTTCTGTTATGAAAAAGCAAATTAGATTCCTTTTTAAAGCCCTTTAAAACTGTATAAATAAAATAAATGAACTAGTGATGGATTTTCTTGGATGAATTTTTTTCCACTCGTCAACTAAATAATGCTTAATAGATACATGAATACATTTCCTCAGGATTTTCTTTAATACAACCGTTGTTAGATTAATTAATAATCTTCTGACGACGATAGATATCGAAGTGAAAATTTCTTTAGGCGCGTTTTGAACTTTTTTGTGGAGAGTGAATTAGATTGATCCGTCAGATTTCCGAAGTGTTAAAGTGGGATAGAGTCGGCAAGAGTCGACTAATTGAAATATTTTTACATATGGATTAAGATTTCTTAGGAACTTAAATCGGGCACGCATCAGAGGTTTTTATATTATTTAATTTTTCGATGTAGGTTTGAATTTCTCGATTTAAGCGTAAAACCAGGGATGGTGGAGGACAACGATTGCTGTCCGGTATGTAACTCTCAAGAAAAACAGGATATCATTAATTTTTTGGGGAATTGTCACATGTACAGTGAGTTAAGAGAGAAATGTTTTGGGCAGCGGACCTGTTCTCCGGAAGAATTATTTTGTTTCTTAAAGAGTTCTAACTGGAAAGCCTTAAGCAATTATATATTTCATAATAGCAATTTTAATAGCAATTTCATACTTCGTATTCAGCCATTTTTTATTTTTAATGATGATTAGAGGCAGTTATTTTTTTTTTTAATGAACCGAATTTAAGGTACTTTAGAGGAAGACATATTGAATATTAGGCATTTAAGCCCTGTAATATGACATCAATGTGGATAAGACCTATTTGATCTTAAACACTACTTAATAATACACTGATATACAGAGTTTAATCAAAATTATTAGAACTGTTTTTGAGAAAATCGTAAAAAATGTGTACCATCGTTCATATATAGTGCCACTTCCGGTTAGCCAATTTTATCAAAAAATTTGCTGTCGACTGTTTGGGGTAGACTGATCACATACAGACACCATCTTGTGGGACATGGTTATTTCGACTTAGGGATCTTCAAAACGTGTATTTCCATTGAAATCTGAGATAATTTTCAGAAATTATTTTTTATAATTTTATCGTAACTCTCGATTATTTTCTACTACTTTGTATGTTAGATATTGTTTTATTTTTTAAATTCACTGCTTTCCAACGTTATATTATACGTACACGTAAGTTCTGAGATTTTCTGAAATTCATTTTTTCTTAATTTTTTTTAAAAAAATTTTATCCTATAATCAGCTATTCAATTTTCCCTCACTTCTTCAATTCTACGATGAATGAAAGACTGTTAATTATCGTAGTCATTCTGACGATTATTTCCGGAAATACATTTTTTTCTAAAAATTATTTTCATTTTTGCCAATTAAAAATTTTGAAAATTCGAGGATCCAGGTCGCGTCAAACGGGTCAATACTTTTGAAGGCCACCTTTTTTCTTGACTTGTGCTCAAGTCATCTTACGATTAAAATGGAAAGCAAATAGGTATTTACGAGTTTTTTGTAACTAATTAAATAGACAAAGTTTTCCGACCTCTACATTCAAAACGCCCCTATTCCGAGAATTTTCGTAAATAAAATATTTGTAGGTTACAATGAGATGAATCTATTTACGAAGCATCAGTTGGATGTTAATAAATTGATAAAAAGGGGTCTGTACCACGGAATAATATTTATGTAATTTGGTTAATGATTTCCATTTTTCATGTGCCTGATTTTGGTAATCAGCTGTTTCATTATAACCTTCCGAAGCTGTTACCTCAGCTTCTTTTCAGTATACGATTAGATGTGATCTAGCGGTGTTTGTTTTCTTTTCTGTCTTGATGATGTCTGAATTGGCGAAACGATGGTAGAATATATATTCTTTATCTACATTTTAGAGAGAAAGGCTATATGGTCGGAATTTTTCCAATAATAATCTAACATTATCTTCATTGCACTAAGTTATGGGAAAATCATACACCACCAGACTTGAGTTGGTCTTATACCAGATAACAAATAAAAAAGAAAATATTCTACAATTTAGGCCTAGAAGAAGACTACCACTCTATGAAGAGCTACCTGTAGGAATCAGACAACGACTTCGTTACCTGGCGATGAGCTTTCTTTTGTCCATCGTCACAGGGAGTCAGGATCGCTTCCAGAGTTCAACAACAGATGTTGTTGTAAGGATGGCAATCGACAGTATCTACTTCGATATTAAAGACTATCGACATTGTCCCTTCGATATTTTAATTTAAAAATAAAAATAAAAACAATCGTTTTCGGAAAGCGCTTGGAATTATATATGAATCCGATCGTTATAAAGTATATATACTCATCTTTACTGTTTCATCAAAAATTAATTATTTATATATTGTAAAAAAAAAGTATTTATTTATTAACATTAGTCAATAAAGACAGCAAAAACATTTCTAGTATCTAGAAACCGAAAAGTAGAAATTGAGATCTTCGATTTTTAATGTTTTAATTTCTTTTTTTTTTTTGGAAAAAGTTAGGTTTACGATAATCGAATTTTAATATCGATGTATCAATATTTTCCAACATCGCAGAGTGACAGCGGTGATTTGATTCCGTGTGTTAAATTTAACTTATTATGAATCTGATTATCAACATATTAATTCAAGAGAAATAAATAATGAATAATAATAAAAATAAAAAAAATGTTTTCAAAATGTGTCTTAATGAATAATATTAACTCTTGCTAAATAAAACTTGCTTTATACTTCTTTTTTGTTTTTATATGAAAAACCAGTGATGTTTAAAATCAGACAGACACTAAATATAAATATTTATTTAAGCCCACAAGAAGTTTACAAAAGCTACATTCTTTTCAATCCAAAATTTTAAATTTTTATAAGAGTCTCCTTGGTACGTAAATAACAAAACTTTAGATATCGACTTACAAAAACCAACTACAGAACAACATTTGCATACCCTTTAATTTCACTTCAAGAATAAACTTCACGAGCATAACAACAAACTGACAAACGACATGTCAGTGACGAACATGCCTATCAGAAGGCTATTGAAAAGAACCTGGACGAGAGATCTCCTTTTCTGAATTAATCAAAGATCGGGAAGAGGTGCTCTTGGGTACTACTTCTTCAATGTCAAAATCAAATTCAACAACACAATTTGTGATGAAGGCATGAACAAAAAAAAAACCTTATTTAACTCCTAAGACTGACGTCCAACATTAATCCTCTGATAGAAATCTTTAAACGTACAAGAAACCCCTACAGATCACTACAACGATTACGTAGGCGGTGATCAAGAGACCTGCTGTTGTGATTTATTTCCTTAATATGTGATGATATCTACAAGACAATCCTGAAACCTATATGGACATACGGACTTGAACTGTGGGGGACAGCAAAATTTTCCAAGCAATGTATCCAATCCTTTCAATCTAAAGTCCTTCGAACAATAGTTGATGCTCCGTTCTATGTAACTAACAAAACCCTACACCATGACCTTAATATCCAGAATTTTCTAGACTTATCCAGAAAATCTAAATTCACCAGAACCTTACCTATCATCCAAATCCCCTTGCACAATCTCTATCCAGCACCACCCATCCCTACAATCCTCCTCGAAGGTTGAAGCGGCAGTGGCCCAGAGACCTTCTGTGAATAAGCATATATTGAAGTTTTGGCAATGGCCAGATCCTCCACTCAAGTCAAGTATGTTATGATTATAGCCTCAACTGGTTCTTAATACCAGTAATGCCGCTCAGTGCGAGGCGCTGGGATCTCCTAGAGTCCTGCCTTTCCTTCCACGACTGGGGTCTGAGTTGGCTCTGAGTTCTTCTGAGTGAATGGATTCTTTAAATATTGTATAGTATGCATGTGTTTTAGTTGTTATTTTGATTAGTTTAGTTCTTTTGTTTATATACATTTATTTTTATTATTATTATTTTCTGTATTATTTATTCTTATTTATTGTAAATAGAGTGTGAGTGTGCTCTCTGAACACTATTATAAATGTCCTTGATTGTGACAGAATGTAATATTTCTAAATAAACAAATAAAAAAGAAAATATGTGATGGGGTGCTGTGAAACCGCCAAAAAAAAAGTTTCTCATTGCAAAGAAATTCGCAGATTGCAAAATTTAATTAAATGTTCATCTTTTATGTTTGGTTAACAATAAATTTAACTCATGTTTATATTTTCTAGCCATCATAGCATGATATAAATTAATACATAATTATTTTTATGTATATTATTTATTGTTATAATTATTTATGATAGGATTGTGTATATAGTTGGCTTGTTAAATATTACAGTAGAGGATGCAAGACCTCCGAGCTGACTAAGAGCAGATCGCCGTAGACGGTGGGGAAGGCCTTAATTGTGTCAAGGTCGATGAAACCCCCGACATCTCGGATCGGACGAAATGGCCACTTCGCTCGAGTAATGACATATTATTCAAGTAATAACATGTTAGTCGGAGATTACTCACGGCCTGTTATATAGAAATCCAATGAGCATTTCCTTTATGCATTTACCGTTATTGTAATATGTTACATTATAAGGCTGTACAGGGGGATGAGTAACGCATTAGAAAAAAATCTGGCATGTCCACTCACAAGACTTTCGTGTACTATTTTAGAAAAGTTTTTATATATTTACATATGTCCATCAAGAAACAAAAAAATTGAATATTTTTTTTTAACATTTTTCTTTTTTTTTTTGTAATATTTTTCTGATTTTTTTTCGGGAATTTAGTCTATTTAAAATTTAAAGGACAATTATTAGAACATTATAGGAAAGTTTCATCAAAATCGTTAGAGCCGTTTTCGCGCTACAGTCTATAGAAAAACATGTTTTTAATTTATTGCGCAGCAGCTATTGCGCATGGAGCACCCAATTTCTGTCACAGGCATCAGTAGTCAAAACTCTACAAATTAAAAAAGAAGCAACAAAAGCGGTTCAGGGGTTCCCGAGAAAATGTAGGCACAGACAGACCAATGGGTAAAAATGTGTTTTTCGGACTCAGGGGCTCTGAAACGTATAGGCCGTCGAAAACCGCATATCGGAAACTTGACCCGACTACTTTCCTTAATTAGTACAGATAGGAAAGTAAAAAATATACAATCTTAAAGTAATGGGGAAAAATATTGTCCCACATCTATTTTTGTATACTAATACTAAACAGCGTTTACACATTTCACAAAATATGAGAAACACGAGCTTGTAAAAGGAGTGTTTTTCTTGACTAGTGTCTATGTGCCCCTTTTGCCGATTTATCTTACTGTCGGTTTTTCAAGTCAAGCCAAAGAGACCTTGAGAAAAAAAACTACATAAGCCCTCGTGTTGCTTGAGACTTCAACATATATTATAATTTATGCGCAGTTTTCTAAAAATTATTTTTATATTTTTTGATTTTTTTTTAAGTAGAAATGACATTCGAGAATGTTTGTAAAATCCTACACCCTAAACATTTTCTTACTATCCGTTCCTCCCTTACAGACAAATATAGATGGCAGTGGATAGTCGATATTATTGAAAGATTCACACTTTCCTATCGATATTAAATATTTTACTTTCAATAGTATCTACTTCCATATTATCGATTATCGATATCTTAATTTGAAAATAAAAACTATCGTTTTATGAAAGCGCTAGGAATAATAGTCTGGCATAAAAATATAACATAAAACCTACATAAAACCACTATATAAAAAAAAACTTAAAAAAAACAAATAAAGTGTATGCTTTAGACCACATGATGAAAGTAGTGTTGCCCAAATGCGAGACCGAGACAAGTCTTGGTCTTGCAAACTCGGTCATGGTCATGGTCTTGGTCTTGCGCAACAGTCTCGCAGTTACTTATTAGCTTATTACTATAGAGATATTACTGTAATTTTTTAGATAGGAGAAACCTAACTAAGCCCGAATGAAAAATTAGAGGAGTTAAATGCAAAAGTATATTTGTTATACCAATTATTAACATTCAGTAACTAGGTTTGCCAAGTATTAGTAACTATTTTGCTTTACAAAAATCGATTTTTTTTTTTTTTTTACCAATCCTGGTCTTAGTCTTGCAACAGTTAGGCAGTCTTGGTCTTGCAATTTGCAAGACCAAGACCGATTTTGGGCAACACTAGATGGAAGTGAAAACAACAATAAGGCAAGATTAATAATATGAAATATAAATTATAAATAATAGCTCATTACAAAGTGGATGAAATGATGAACATTTTTCTCGCTTTCAATATGCATCTCCGATTTTTAGTTTTTGAGATATTTTGATCCATATGCAAAACACTTAATTATTCGACTCCAGCCGACTTTATCCGAGCGTTGCACATCGTAAATCTGACGGCTCAAACTAATTCAATCTCCACAAAAAAAGTGCAAAACGCTCTTAAAGAGGTTTTCACTTCAAAAAATAAAAATAAAATGACCCCTATCAATTAACTCTTGGTAAGCAATTGTAATTACATAACCTAAACATTGTTAAAAAACTTATTAACGTTTTAATGTGTAGTAGGTGGTGAAGTAAGAGTTCTTTGAATAAATTAGTAGATGTATATACATATAAATATTTATCTGTTAACTGAATGCTCAAGGAAGGAAGGAAAAGAAATAACCGCATAATGCATCAGACTGGAAGGACATAAAATAAGTTTATCCGGAAACGAGAGAAACCTCCAAAGAATGAAATTACTTTCGAGTACCTCGCTGTACCTGACCGCAGCCATCATGATAAGAGGAGGGGAAAATATCAAGTTAAGAAGTGTTGGAGGCTGTGGATAGGATAGGTCCCACATTGACCAATAGCGGTGGCGCAACGCAACCTCCACAGCGGTCGATCACTTTCACAAATTTAATTTCAAATAATATAGCTAAATATAACGAGAATTTGTCTATCTATACGCAGCTTTTTTTTTTTTTTTTTTTCTTTTTTTCAGGTAAAACTAGTAAGAGCAAACTCGCAACACCGGCTAAATCATTTTTTTTTTTTCAATTGAAATATTCAATAAAAACAGTGAAAAATATATATTGTACCAACTGAAAATATTATCGGAAACTCAGCCAACAACACAATCTATCAATAAAACAATTTATCTAGTTTTTGATTTATTGACCGTTTGATCTGCTTTTCGTTTCGTTTTTTTCCGAACAAAACAAAAGCTCTTTCTGCTTTCCAAGGAAACTATGAGTACATCATGAAAATACAAGACAGTTCTTTTATAAGACATGATTCGTCTGTTAAGTTTAGGGACGTAATTTTTAGCTAATACGTAATGAAGGCTAGAAGTAAATAAATAATTATAATTATTAACATTATAGTTACTACATTGCTAACATAACTTAAGCATATTTGTAGGCAAAATTAGTTTGTTTTTAGGTGTATTTATCTATATTTGTGTCTTGTAGATCGAAAATAATTTTTATGATTGAACATATTCACATAAATCAATTTAATCGCATAAATAAAATTAAACACTATTATGTTCTATAAAAATTGAAAGAGGCAAACTGTTAAAAAAATATTTAAACTACAGTACAAAGACAGACTCATGATAACCAAGCAGCATAATTTCAAACTTCGTTATAACAAATTAGTTTGATAAAGGGGAAGTTCCTAGCTCATCGATAGCATCGGATCCTTCTTTACTCTGGGCGAAAGGATGTCATCAATGAGCTCATCGTTGAGAGTTTAGGAACTTGTCCAAAATCACAACCACCGGATTAATACAAGAAAGTTAATAAAATATTATTAAAATAAAAAGCGTTCTAAGTGTAAAAAATATATTTTAGTTTTAATTAGTTAAAAAATAATTTTTAAGATCAAACAGTCATTTAATGTTTTGTTTTTTTTGTCTATTAAATATGTATTTGCGCCTGTCAACAATAAGTTGACAATCAGCAAATGTGATGGCGATAATGATAAAATGACATGATTGGCATGGGGAAGGAAAGTACTCAGCAGTACCTCTTCCCTAACTTGTTCCAATTACTTAGGTTGTCTAAGGAAGGAGATCCCTCATCCAACGCCTTTTTAGTCTCCTCCTCATGTTCTGAGGTATGTCAGCTGTGGCCATGTCTCTTATAAGTCTGTTATTATGTACATTTAAATTTGTGTAAAATCGTTGATATAGGGTCGTTATATGTTGGTCAACTGTTGGAAAGTGGAGGTCAGTATGTAGAGTTTTGTTAGTCACGTACCAAGGTGCTTTTGTTATGAGTCGCAATAATTTTGATTGGAACGTTTGAAGTTTTTGTAGGTGGGTCTTTTTAGCGATGCCGTATATTTGTGATGAGTATGTCCATATGGGCTTCAGTAAGTATGTATATGTATTCAGTTTCTGTTTTAGTTTTAGTTTTGAAGATTTGGCAAAAAGAGAGTAAAGTAGTGACATGTCATCCTTCTGTCGAAGGTGAGTCCAAGGTAAAGTACCGTGTCCGTTTGAGGAATTTGATTGTTGTCAATATAAACTAGAGGACAGGTGTTTTTTCGAAAATAAAATTAAACACTATTATATTCTTAAAAAAATGAAACAGGCAAACTGTTAAAAAAATGTTTGAACTACAGTACTAAGACAGACTCATGATAACCAAGCAGCATAATTTCAAACTTCGAACAACACTTCATAAAAAGAAATATGGCAAAACATTTATAACAAATTAGTTTGATAAAGGGGAAGTTCCTAAGCTCAGCGCTGGGCTCATCGATAGCATTGGATCCATCTTTATCCTGGGCGAAAGGATGTCATCAATAAGCTCATCGTTGAGAGTTTAGGAACTTGTCGAAAATCACAACCACCAAATTAATACAGGAAAGTTAATATAATATTATTAAAATAAAAAGCGTCATAAGTGTAAACAATATTTTTTAGCTTTAATTAGTTAAAAAGCAATTTTTAAGATTAAACATTCATTTAGTATTAAAAATAAATTAAAAGTTAACAATTTCAAGCTCGAACAATGCCAAACTTTATACATAAAACATTTCATTAATTTGCAGACCTGTTATTTAATACGAATAGGATACGTTTTAAAACGAATAAGACTGTTATCAAACGAATAGGTCTTACTTCATGAATCGTTGCGTTGTTCTATGAACTATTTTTTTCAACAATTCTTAAGAACTGTTGTTATTAGTCAACGAACAGTTCATTTGTATTTATTTGATAAAGTTGTAAATTTCAATAAATAAAACAAATATACAATAACGTAATCCACCGAAAAGATATAGTAAAAATAGGAACGATAAAAGATTCAGAACTATATTTGCGAATAACTCAAATAGTTTTGGTCCATTAAACTTATGAGTCTTGGAAAGCTTTCTGAATTCCATACTAAAATAAAATCATGCCAATAAAGCAAAGTTACGCCCAAGATCAGGTCGATATTCAGCCGTTCTGGAAATTTCATTTATAGAGCGATCGTGGAATCTTGAGCACATACATGAAAGTGGGGCAACAACTATAAAGCAGTACCTTTATTTAATTTTATTTATAATATATAATAATAAATACGATAGAAAAAAATAAATACGTCTTTACATCAGTTAAATGAGTAGCCAGTTATAAATGTAATTGAAGCAAGATTAGTCTTGAATTCCTTCTCCTTACAGGGAGATTTGAATTAGTTGAGGAAAATTACCTCTTGAATGACAGCACAAACATTCGTTAATTAGCAAGGCCCTTGAGAGTGTGTTGAAGTGAATGGTAGGCATTCTAAAACGGCATTAACGCTTAAGCGAACGCTAAATCTCATTTCATTTTGAGTTTGTCAAAATACAGTATTTTATTGGATACAGATTGATACCAGAAATAAATAGACCACCCAAATAGTATACTAAATTCAAAAATTGAATATACATAATTGGTAAAAGTAGATACTTTTTTTTTTATGGAAATATTTTATTTTCACCTATAAAATATTACAATCAGCAAATAAGGTCATATAAATTACAATGGAGCCAAGAAGGCTCTCCTCTTAACATTCAACTAAATTATTCTGTCACACTAGGAGTGCCCTCAACTCCTTTCAGCCATCATCGCGGTACATCAGGAATGTCATCTGTTACCATTTATTGTATAAATGCCCACGTATTTTGTCGTGAAACCGTTTATTGTTTATACGAATGTGATTCCTCGGAGTCGATGTCATGGGTCTCGTTCAAAATATAAGGTAATGAGATCGTTATTAGTTTTAAGACAGTCTATATTACTATTAAATATCCTATATTCATAATTAATAACATCCTGAATTCTAATAACCAATTACTTCAACGATTCCCCTATTTTGGTTTCATTTAATCTTTTTATTTTTCAATCTCATATCTCAGTTTAAACAAGCAATTTTCTGCAACGCATGTATGGATGTATTCAATATTGTTCTCTTGAAAGTTTCTTTTTTATTGCATTGTTTCTTCTCAAAATATGTGTTTGTCCAAAAGCTCCCATCACAAAAATATAAACAAAAACAAACTATGAAGCGACTTAAAAAGCACCGAATTTGGCCGAACTTAAATTTTTCTAGATTGAATTAGAATATACTCAATTGAAGCAGATTGCGAATACAGGTCGATCTCTCATTTTACAAGAGGAAATATCAAAGAAAAAAACCTCAATCTACATTTTTGGGCAAAATGGTCGTTGGATTCGAATTGTAATTTTATTTAGAAAAAAATAATAAGGCCTCTGTATTATTATTATTTTTTACCATTCTTTATTAATTATTATTAAGTTGTCCTCATTATTCATTAAAATATGATTTTTAAAATTTAAATCTCAAAGAAATTTATAACACCGTATATGATGGTCAAATCCATTTAATACGTTTTTATTCCTTAATTTCTTGTCCATCCTATAATTAATCCAAAACAGATCTATGTCATGGTTATTGGATTTTTCTTTTCCTACTTGTGCTATTTTTTTTTAAATTAAATATTTGAAATACGTAATAGAATACAGGAGTAGTAAAAAATCTATTTATGTAAGAATATATTTAAGGTGAAGAGCGTAGGTGCAAAGTATAAGGTGTGCTCTGAGCCTTGTTTTCTCCCATCAACTATTTGGCCATGCTCCCGCCCCGTTGACTCAGGCTCCTAAATTAGCTGTTGGTTTTTCGGAGGTGTGTCATCACTGCACAAGTTCGATTACCGGACCGTAAATTATTAATTTCCTATCCTTGGATCACTGGTATATCCGCTATGACTCCTTCAAATTGAAATATGTCTCATTTTACCAGATAAAATACCGTAGCTTAAAATGTATTGGGTTGGCAAATAAGCCCTTTCGGTTTTTCTGTTTATTTTCAATACACTTCTTATCTGATGTATTAATTCCTAAGTTGGATTGTTTATCCTGTTTGTAATATGTCAACAAATATATCTGTTAACTCTTGTAAAAACTACCTTAGTATTGTGTTTGCTATTGCACTGTGAATGTGTAAGAAAATATGATTCATTATCGGCATATGTTATTGTATTATTTTAAAAAAGGTAAACGTGCCGCAGAAGCTCACGTAAGAAATATTTATAGTGTTTATGTGGATGATGCCATTAACCGAACGCACCTGTCAAAATTGGTTTGCCAAATTTCATTCAGGAAATTTTGACATCAATGATGCTCACAGTCTGGTCACCCACATGCAATTGAAAAGAGCAATGTTGAAGCCATTGTTGATCGAAATCCCACCCAATCAGTGCGAGAGATTAAACATGTCGCACACAAGCATAGAAAACCATTTGCACAAGCTCGGCTATGTTTCTAGGCTTAATGTTTGGGTCCCTCACATGATTTTTTTTCGATAA